TATATATATTTGAAATGCAGTATTGATTAATCAAAATAAATGCGTACAGTTGATAAATATCATTTTCTTTGCCATCATCTGGTTATTGAAATTAACTCTTAAAAAGATTTTACTAGGAAAAAACGTTTGTTTGGATTGAAATGTTTGCCCGTCGTCATATTCTCATTTTAGTCCGTTAATGGATAAACGCATTCATATCACAACAACAACCTATAAAGTGAACTCCAAGGTTATGAGTTTGATATGCTTGATGTGAGATCAAATTGCTTGATATTGTAGAGTTGTTGTATGGTAAACGTGACTTTTTGCATGTGTTTGTACCTCAGGAGCATGTCTCAATCATATCCACCTTATTATCAGCGTTTAACAAGTCAGAACGTATAGGACAGAGTAAGAGTGTGAGATTTGGTTTAGATTTCGTGTTGCTATAACAAGAAACGAAGTTTTCACATAGTAGAGGAAAAGCGTTCTGTTTCTCCCTCGAATATACCCCTGCTAACAAAGTGAATCTTATAACACCTCTATGTGTATGTGTATGTGTATGTGTATAGTGTTAAGTCTCAAGAGCTTTCTGTCCAAATAAACGTTGGGTTTAACTTCCATCTTCTTTTCTTCTGTTGCTTTTTGTGCGTTCAAACTATGATATAAGAGAATGGCAAACTATTGTGATTTTATAGCAGATATCGTTTTAATATCGGAATTTGTTACTATAAGAAAAGAAAACTAATTTCTTTGTCTATATTGACATATCTACGTGATACATAAAGCGTCAACAATTCATTTATTTTCTAAAGTAAAAATTAAATTTCAACAGAATTCAGTTTTTGTGCGTGTGTATCTGTGTGTGTGCGTATTTAAATGTTTGACAAAATGAAGTTAAGTATATGATATCAGATAATGTTTTTAAACAAAGAAAAGAGCAAAACAATATTTAACAAACATTCGAATAACATTTTTTTTCTCATACAACGATCTCTCGCTAGTAGATTTAGAATATTTATTTAAACGAGCTTATATTTCGTTTTATTTTTTTTGTATGTTCAAAAATTATACAACAACACTGTTTGCAGATACACATAGTTTAATCACATTAATATGGGCGGTATTTTATTTTTATAACTAAACAGTGGTGAAGTATGAAAATAAAAGCATGTCATAACGCTTGATATTTGGTGAAAAAGGATCGGAACTACGTTGAACATTTGCAACGACTGATTACATGATATTTCTTGTTTATTTATCAAGAACTCCATGAACTTGATTGACGTCACCCACGGATTATGTTTATAGTTCTGAAGTTGCCAGTATCAAGCAGCGATAAAAACTCAGCATGTTGTAACACATTTCCAGTACTATAAACGCCATTATTTTTCACTAATAAATTAGTTAATAATGCAACGAGAGTTTTGCCATTTCATATCACTAATCGAAAAAGATTGATAACAGAAACTGACAGGTAAAGAGCGTATATATAGTAAGAGTCTGTATTTGACTAGTTAAAAAAAATTTTACGTGCGTTTGTTGTTATAATAATTTTGATTTTTTTGTTATTTCTTTTTTTCCACAAAATTATTTATAGTATATGTAGATAAATACTTAACATATCGTTGGACAAGTACTTTTTTGGAACTCTGGATAGAAAATGTCGGTGTAATTTTATTTTATGTGTGTGAACATTAGTGTGTACTTTTCCCATGGCTCACTTAAGTGATATTTGCACGAACGGAAGCCGAATGTTAAAATAGAATCTTGGAAAACTTTATCTTAGTGTACTGTAAAAAAATCCGGTTTCTTATCTGTTTCACGTCTGTGATTGACAGAGACGTTAAGTGCCTCTTTTGTTTTATAATCAGCACTGATATATGAAGAATAAAAAAGTTTCGAAACTTTTTTCGATTTCTCTTATATTACAAAAGTCTATGAACACTGTATTGACGGACGATACATACTGCCATGCTGCTACGTAAAAAGGAATAGTATCAAAATAAACCTGATAAATTGTTCGTCTTATCTTAAGACGAATTTTTTATAGAATGTAGTTGTTACTGTATATTACTTGCACTTCTCCATTCACTGAGGATAACAATAGTACACAGAGTCTTAACTTATGAGGGAAGGCCACCAAGTGTTCCCTCGTTTTTGAGCTGAGACTCAGTTGACCGGGGGTAATCGAGCATGCTGATTCCGAATTTCATAATGGTTTGGGCTAATTTTGACTTCAAAGCCCCGATTTTTGAAGAGCTTGGTTTTCAAGCCGAAAAACATTTGCGCTAAAAAAATTGTTTGATCTGTCCAGTTGAAAGAGTACGTCGCGAAACCTACAGAAACCACTTTTCAAGGTTTCATGAGAGGTTCTGAATGAGTTTCTACGTCAAGAACTTAAAAAAGAGAGGAAAAACCGGCTTTTTTATGCAGTATAGTGCAAAAATTGTTCTTTTTTTGCCTTGCTTTCAACTTACCGAAGGCCTGTTGAACTAAAGCTGGAGTGTGTCATGTCTGACACATATACGCAGCGATATTGATTAAAGGCCTTCGATAAGTTGAAAAACAAGGCAAAAAAAGAACAATTTTTGCACTATACTGCATAAAAAAGCCGGTTTTTCCTCTCTTTTTTAAGTTCTTGACGTAGAAACTCATTCAGAACCTCTCATGAAACCTTGAAAAGTGGTTTCTGTAGGTTTCGCGACGTACTCTTTCAACTGGACAGATCAAACAATTTTTTTAGCGCAAATGTTTTTCGGCTTGAAAACCAAGCTCTTCAAAAATCGGGGCTTTGAAGTCAAAATTAGCCCAAACCATTATGAAATTCGGAATCAGCATGCTCGATTACCCCCGGTCAACTGAGTCTCAGCTCAAAAGCGAGGGAACACTTGATGGCCTTCCCTCGTTAGTAATTTCCTTTGGAATGAATATAGTTCATCATTTTCACCGAGAAGGAATGAGAGAAGATTTTGAAAAATTAACCGAATTTTGGTACAATTGATAAAACTTTGACAATCACGTCTTACTTAATAGATTGTGTTTTTCTACAACGTGCTAGTGTATCGATTAAGAAAAGAACAACTAGAAGTTTTATAATTTAATATTCTTGATGCTCTTTTTCACTCTCTCTTTCTCTATATTAAAATTTCCAATTTTGATACGTTTGAAGTTTTACGGTTAAAACCAATAATAGATAGACAGATAGATAAATGTGCATGGTACCGCGGCAATTGTTTTAGTAATACTAATAATAATAGATTTTTAAACGATGCGTATGTATAAATGTACACCTGCCGTTTTCTTTTTTCTTTTTCTTGTCTACGCTATCATTATTAAGAGATGATAATGAACCTCTCCACCACATTTTAAAGGCTGTGTGTGTATGTGTATGTTGTTCGACTTGTCAATTGATAAAGAAAGAATGGTGACGTTTTAATTAAGATTTTTTTCTCTCTCCGATGGAGGATCGAATGTCTTATTCATATTCTTTTTGAAATTTGATCTCTTCTTATGCATTTCTAAAAGGAGAGAATGAATATGAGGCGTTTTTTGCACACACACACACGATTATGGCAGACAAGAGAGAGAGAGAGCACTTAGAGAATACATTATTATTATTATTATTATTATGTTAAAAAAAATTCGAGAAGAAATGGGTTTTGAATAGGATACTGTTAATCTGTAGCACGCAAATATGACAGGAGAAAACTTGCTTCAATATGTACGTTTTAACTATTAACCAATTAAATCTATTGCCGATATACTCTGTTTTTTTTCTTCTTCTATTAACCAATCCAAAAGACGATGTAACGCGTTTTACCGAAGAGAGAAAGAAACTGTTTTTTTCCTCTTTGTTGCATACATAATAGAGAAGTGAAGTGGAAACGAAATATTAGATATCAATCTGTTGAATAACTCAATAGAATATATCTACATAGGTAAGTTGAGAGAAGAGAGTTATGCCAACAATATCATTTAGATATTATAGTCGATATTTTGTCTAATTATTAACGAGATATGGACACAATCCTTCAAGTTTTGTCACGTTATTCAAGAGCTATAAATAAATTAAAAAAATACTAAAAATACTGATCAGGTGATTGTTGGATGATTTTAGCAGAAAATGAGTCGAATCTTCTTATCTACTGAATAAGATGAATACCATGATTCTATCTTCGATCATTTATCTCTAACCTTTTACTTATATCTTGTTTATGAAACATATTTCCGTTTCTTATTATAGTTTGTTTTCTTTTCACTTAAACTATATTGTCAACGTATCTCTCGCTCTCTGTCTATTTTGACAGTAGAGACGAAAATGAAGTGCGTATAGACAAATAAAGCTAATAATAAAAGGCAGAAAATGCCGATTATAATTGACGTACATATTGTATTCTTATTGTATGGCGGAAATAACTGACCATTTTCGGTTTTCTTTTTTTTGAACATCAAAAATCTTTATTTATGTAAATAAATGTTCATTTCTAATGATGACATAGCGAGTGTGTACACATGTTTATGCAAATAAACAGAGCTAATCTAATCATCTAATTTCTTTGATTTGAGACCGAATTATTTCATATGAACAGGAGGAACAATTTATTTACATTGTCTAAAAGGAGTTCAATATATTTTGTTAAAATTTCAAGTTCATTGAAAGAAATTTTTGGATTACTCAGTGGTTACCTTCTTTCTTTCTCTTTTTAAACCAAAAGGTAAAACAACATTATCTACAAAGTCATAAGCACAATAATAAATCAATTGAAAAAACTTTTGTGATCATCGAGCTTTGTTCTTTTTCAATAGATGATATTCGCTTCCGATCCTAGAAATGTGTTCTGTAGCGTATTCAGTGCAACAATCATTTCATATGATATTGAAAGACTGTTATTAGGGACTTTGTTACGTGTTACAAAAAAAAAATCGAAATTTGTTGAGCTGACAAATATATCAAATCAAATGGTTTAACTATACATAAAACAGACAACAACTATATATGTTTCTTTTTGTATGTGCATATGCATGCGCGCGCGCGACAGAAAGATTTTAACGATAATTACGGACACAATACATACACAAATGGGTAAATATTGAGTAGAAAAACTTAATTTTTTATAATGAGAATTCTACTATTAATTCTCTTTTTCAATCTAGAATTGTGGATGCATAGAAAACAGAAAAGAAACAAAACAAAAATTGTAGATTTATTTTTTAATCTAGATAGATAGATAGATATTATAAGTATAGATCTATAATTGAGCGGAAATAATGTTTTTACACCCCAGCATGGGTAGAGTGTGAAATATAAACATAAACAAAATAATAATGGGCAGTTACATAAATTTAATTCTTAGTCAATATTTATCATTAGAAAAAGAAGAGTGTGAAATATATATTGTAAGTTTTCGATAAATATAAACAATAAATAGTAATTACTAGAGTATCTATATTTGCTAATATAAATTGTTTCATCTATTATGAGATTTTTTTTTTTGCAATAACAATTCACTTTTGTTTTTTTGTCGAATTCAGAATACTAACATATGAAATTATTGAATTTTTAACTTTTTTATTTAAACTGTTATCTTTCTCTCATTTTCATTGACCTGTACAAATTGTATTTATTTGATAGGAGTTTACTCATCGCCTCGTCTCATTCAATTAAATTTATTTTAAACTCTAGAAAAAAAAAATTGTATTTTCTTTGTTAAGATGTCGATATACATCTCATTTTTTTGTAGATATGTATGGTATTCTAACGATGAAAAGAGCAAACATCAATTCATGATCGATTTGAAATTTGTTTAACTCGTACAATATTAACACATGTTTAAATATAATTTCTATTTTTCTCATACATATGATTTTTGAGACTAAAATAGTTGACATTATCATTCATTGATAGTTAATAAAAAATTGAATTAAAAAAAAAATATTAAAACTAATTATCTCAATAAAATCACATAAGAATTTTATTCATACTAGAAGTGCTAGAGGCGATTGAGGGAGAAGAATTTTTTTTGGGGTGATATAGTTACACATTTATTTTTGACTATTTCACATGTTCTAAATCATAAATGAAGTATTTGCGTACAATCAATTATGATGCGGATATAAATTATCAAAATTTGTTAGTCTATAGATAGATATAATCGATGAGATTTATGTTTAAGTTGATTGTATATGCATATATATATATATATACATATAGAAGATTGATTTCTTTCCGATACATTACCACTCTATTATTCATTCACTCAACTAAACTGTATCATTTATTATTTGTATAGACGAACAAAAAAAGAAAAGAATAAATACAAGTGTTGTTAGTTATTGCTATAGATACTATCAGATTTAGATGAGGAAAATGAGAATAAAAACTATACCAAACATTTCTAATTTCCATTAAAAACATTATTTTTAAATATAAATTTTTTGATAATTTTTGTCTATTCGAACGCTCGCTCTCCATCGGTGTGTATCATTATATATAAATTATTTTTTAACTTTTGATATGTAATAATTATGCTATTATATTGATTCTCTCTCGCTCTCTCTTTCTCTCACATACGTTTTAATCTTGTTTCATAGTTTCTCGAATCAACGAATTTTTATTTTTTTCTAATTGATACTTATAAATTTTCATCTATCCATTCAGACATAATAACGGAAGATATATAATTATAATTAATTTTATTTTGTTTTTTTCTTTTTTTAGACAAAAAGAGAAAAGACATCAAAATCAAAATTTGTTACCTCCGAATCGTAAGTGCGATAAATTATAATAAAAAGATAATATTACTTTCATTAGTTATATTTTCATTTTTAAGATTTATCAAAAAATCTATAAAAAATTCGAATGTGATTAATAAATTTAGACAAAAATTATTTGAAAGTGGTATGTCTGCTTAACCTTGTTCAATGTTCTATTTTCCTAGTATTTAAGAATATTGAAATACAACTACTATTAGATACATAAAAATTTACACTATAAAAAAAAAAATGACACTACACACTCGAAGGTGAGAAAAAAAGATTAAAAGAGATTAAAAAAAAATATTTTTTAATTCGTTTTTGAAAAAAAATAGACACACATATACACATTGAAGAAAGAAAAATATCAATATGTACTCAATGAGTAGTTAATCTCTCGAACTAGTCAATGCATTGTATCATAAACATTTTTTTTGATATGGAGAATAGATGACGAGAGACGAAGATCGCAAAAGTCAAATAATTCAAATATTCCTTATGCATTATTAAATTTTATTTCTATTTCCTTGTAGAAAAGAGATTCTAAAATGAAGAACTACAAAATTAACATTGTCTACACTCATTTCTCTTACTAATTGCTCATTAGAAACATCAAGATAGAAATAAATTTTTATTGTATATGGTAAGATACCAATATGTTTTCATAACGAGAATATTTAAAATGAATTTTATTTTATTTAAAACTGATACCTTATTGTTAGAATCATTTAAATAATTTTTTAATGATAAAAAAAAATACGTAGTATAATCAGACATGTGTATTGTAAATAAATTAAGAAGTTCGTATACATATCGACAAAAAACATTAATTAATCACACGGTGACGTGAAGTAGAATATAATCGTTTAACACTTTTAGGACAGAGTAAGAGTGATACATGAATATTTTATTCATATGATAAATATATCTACATGGAGAATTAGCGTGATAAACTTAGTCAAATTATAACATTAATTTTCATGAGTAATCATCATATGAACAATTTTTTAATTGTCCTTGTCAACAGTCAAATAAATACTAAGCTAACTTTGAAATAAGTCAATTAGTTTGTGTACTACTTTTACACGATTATACTTAAGATTCTAAATGAGCACGTCTCATAATACCTCAGTCTCTACTTCTATCCCTACTCCCTGACAATATAAACAATAATTCGATCTAAACTCATATTTATTTTTATTTAGAAACAAGTGATAATACGTCTTTGTCAGTCGATGAAGAATCTACTGCAACAGAACCACTAACAATATTTTCATCACGAAATATTGACAAATTATCATTAACTCCTCAGAAAAGAGACGGTGAATTACTAACTAGTTTCAGTGAACAACAACAAGACAACAATTATATTCAAAACAGTAAACATTTAAAGTAAGTATATTCTAATTTTAACACTTAGACAAGTAAAAACAAAAGAAGAATACCTGATAAATTTTGTTGTTCATTTCTAATCAATAAAAGAAATCCTTAGATTGCCGTGAATAATGTGTTATTGCTTAATCATAAAACGGTTAGAATTTTTGCCATTTTTTTCTCAATGTTAGAAACCCAATTATTTTTTTCGTTACTAAAAATACGCACCATATTTGTTTCTTTGTCAGAGTGACTATCAAAATAGAAAAATTAATTGGAGTTTAATCTTTTTGTTTTTTATTCTAAAAAATTTACGATGCATAAAGACATTTTTTTCAATTTTCTCTTCTTTCTTTTTTCTCGAAAATAAAAAAAAAAAAAAGTTCCAATAACATTTTTCTCAATCTCTAGTAGTCCAATGTGCTTTAAAAAATAGCAGCAATGAGAGAAAAAAATCGAATAGATCGAGTAGGAGAGAGAGAGAGAGAGTAAGAAAAAGAGAGAAAAAGAACACAAACTACATTTTCTCAATAATTTAATGTGTGAAAAAAATTTCTTCTCTCTTCTATGTACATGATTAAATTGATTCTTTCTTAACGAACAACATTAACTATCTATTGATTGAAACTTAATTTGCAAAGGTAAGATTTCAATGCTTATGCGTGTGATATCTCTGTACAAGAAGATATCAATTCTCTATTTCATTCTCCTTTTTCTCGTATATATATATATATATATACACACACACATACACGCACACACACAATTTTAAGTAATAAGACCCTGTTACTGCTGTACAAGACGGATTTTGGATACCTTTAGGGGGTGTTTTTTGTTCTATATTGCATTCCATATTACACGAATAAGAAAAGAATAGAAATGAAGAAGAAAAATCCTATCTATTCATTCAGTTATCATTTACACATGTACACTATTGATAATTTCTAATTTTGTTGCAGTAAGAATGCAAAATTAGATTAAAATATACTAGAAAAGTAGAACGATGCTCTTATTTAAAAATTCTCAGACATTTTATCCATTCTAAAAGTAACCATCGAATAATTCTATCATAATAATACACAGTACCAAAATAAACTTATTAAGGACTGATAAAGAATTAGATGCAAGCGATCTATACAACATCAACAAATTACATTCATTTGATTCATGTGAATACTTGAATAATTTCAACCCTTGTACTAAGGTTTAAATGAGAAAAAAACTGATTTAGGATTAGAAAATTTAGAATTTAGAGTTTTTTTAGCACTTGTGATCTTGTTTTCTACTTTTACATTTTGTAATAAAATACTTAGTATGTTTTTATTGTAGAGATTTTTATTTGCATCTTTTGTCATAACAATTAGAAATAAGAAGGTTGATGACCAACATACAAAGTGATCAGTTCATTGGAAGAGTACGATATTTGTTTAACTATCTCCGTGTGATCAATGTGTGCGTGTGTACGTAATGAAGAACCGTCTGAACGTTAGAGAGCGCTAAATTATGTAGTTTTTTTAAGCTTTTAAAAGTGCTTAGAAAAATGTTTATGTTATAAATCACACTAGTCATACATTAAATTGTTTTGAAACGCGCATTTTCTGAAAATTGCAACTTTAGATATTTCAACACTGATTTCGATCAGACTTTTCAGCTCTGAATCAGCAAGAAAAAAACATCGTTTCTCAAATCAACTATGAACAGATCTTTACTGTCTTCAAGATGTCTCAGAAAACGGAAGTAGATGGAAGAAGGGAAGAACGAGTGGGAGAGTAGGAATTTAAACTAAGAAAATTGTTCTAATTTAACTGTACTCTGACTATATTAAACATTAATCTTATATTTTAGTAATCAAACGTTAATGGCCTCGTATTCATTTCCGTCACCTGGTTATGCTAATGTTCCATCATTCTATAGTCAAACACAAAATCCTTACTTAGGATCAGGATTTAATTTGCAGTACCCATTTGATAGTAAATATAATCATGGCAATTGTATATAACATTCATTTCGATTATTCTTTCTCTGTTTAGCATTTCCTAATACAGCGGCTGTTTCTCCAAATAGTCCATTATCCGTTACTTCGAACTATACATCTCAATCTGTAAATATTCTAGGACAAACATTCTTAATTCTCTAATACTTATTATTACATTTTTTTTCAAAGGGTATCGAAAACAATTATTATTCGTATCAACCAGCAGCGTCTCTTAATTATCCATGCTACCCATCCTCATCACCATATGTCTCTCCGTATAACATTGTTTCTGCCATATCTCCGGCTTCATCATTAGCAGGACCAACAACATCTGCAACCGTACAAACATATCAGTTAAATTCAATTACTCCTACAATTGGTACGTTTTCAAAAACGTTCAATAACGGTCATTTTTACATCCTTCTATATTTATTAACTCTTTTGTTTAGATACAAATCATTTTTCAAATTTATCATCCACATCACCCTCACCATCTTCAAAAACTGAAACAACTACACGTTGTAAGCTTAAAGTATGTTCTAATATAAATAAAAGATAATTTTATTGATTTATTTAGCACTATCAAAATCAAAAACCACTCGTGGTAGAAGAAATCAACCATCACCTGACTCAGAAAGTAATATTGAACGTGTATTTGTATGGGATTTAGACGAAACAATAATTATATTTCATTCATTATTGACTGGAACATATGCACAACGATATCAGAAAGTGAGAAATTTCTTTCTGACAGATGAAGTAAAAAATAATAATTTATTGATTAATAGTCTTATATACATTAATTTAATAAATTCTTCTTCTTATTCTTATTTTTAAGGATGCTCATTCAGCAGTTACACTCGGTTTACGTATTGAAGAAATGATATTTAATCTTGCTGATACAAATTTATTTTTCAATGATCTTGAAGTATGTATAAAAACAGACTAAACATAACATTGTTCATTTTATTCTCTGCCTCTCTTTAAAGGAATGTGATCAAGTTCATATTGATGATGTATCATCAGACGATAATGGACAAGATTTAAGGTATATATTGACATTTCCATTTAAATTCTATTTTTACTTATTTAACATTTTAGCACTTATAATTTTATCGCCGATGGTTTTCATTCTTCAACAAATATTGTTAATCCATGTATTAGTAGTACGGTACGAGGAGGTGTCGATTGGATGAGAAAATTAGCATTTCGTTATAGAAGAATAAAAGAATTGTACAATAGTTTTCGTACTAATGTTCAAAGTAAGTCTCTACTACGATCATTAATCATAAAACAATGAAATTCACTCTCTTGTATAGATTTATTGGGACCACAAAAATATGAAGAACTAATACAACTTCGATCAGAAGTTGAAACATTAACCGGTTCATGGTTAACATTAGCATTAAAAGCATTAACAATTATAAAAGGAAGGTAAAATTTAGTGTCATAACTCTAATGTTTTATTGATCATATAATCGTTTTATTATATGATCAAAAACATGTGTTCTTTATTTAGGAAAAATTGTGTAAATGTATTAGTGACCACGACTCAACTTGTACCAGCATTATCCAAAGTTATTTTATATGGTTTAGCGGATGTTTTTGACATTGAAAACATTTATAGCGCAACAAAAATTGGTTAGAGTTTTTTTTCTTTTGTTATGAGACTAACATAATTAATCTCATTTGTTTTTCATCATAGGTAAAGAAAGTTGTTTTGAAAGAATTAGTACACGTTTTGGAAGAAAGCCAACATATGTGGTGATTGGTGACGGACGAGATGAAGAATTAGCAGCAAGACAGGTATATTAGTTGTTCAATCGTAAGATTCATTTTTCTATTCAACAACTCTAAGATCATTGAGTAGAAATTTTGTTAACAACAGACTGCTCGTCTCCAAATAGAACGAGCTATAATAATAATTGAGATAATACGAAGCCAAGGTATGCAAGAGAGGGTCTTTTGACATTTTGTTCGACTATACCGTGGATCTCTGATGAAAAGAGCGAAAAAAACGTACTTCCTAATTCTATTTGAAGAAAGCAGCAATCAATAGATTTGACAAATTTCTTTATCTTGAAAAGCAAAAATATGATCACCCCGAAGCGTTAAGTTGAAAATATCATCTCTATCCAAAGTTATTTTTATCAACTCTCTTCGATATTTTAGTTATCATGGCCGTTTTGGCGAATAAGTCAACATCAACATTTGACGGCCCTTCATCATGCATTAGATTTACAATTTTTATAAAAATTCAAATGTAACAGTACTATCAATAGTATATTTCATTCTTTGAAACATTCATCTCATTTCTTATCGAGCTGAAACTACTTATCTATATATATTTTTTTTTTACTTCATTCCGTTTTTATCTCTGTTATTGATGTTATTTTTTGTTTCATAATTAACCATTTTCACAGTGATCAAATTTCGATCTCAACAAATATTAAAATTCTTGACATGTAATTTAATTAATGAATTTTCTCATGTAAATTTTTTATTTTCTCAATTCACAGATGAAAAAAAAAATCAATTGTTCTCAATGAATATTGGGTGTATATTATTTTCATTATTTATTTCACATGTGCCGTTTTCAATGTAGTACAGCAAATGTGAGTAAGACGAAATCATGCGAGTGTTGATTTGTCACTAACGCATAAACTAACTATTAGATAATTGCATGTTAGTTCGTTACTTGACGTATATTAATAGATTTGCTTTCGCAGAGAATTTGAGAAAAGTGACAGCGATCAATTTTTCAGTGAAATAATAAAATTTTTCGATCCAGGATACCTAATATCAACACATACATAAACTGTTAGTTTATTACACGATTGTATCTATCTGATGGCGTTCTGCCGTTATAATGCATCGCTATTATACCATTGTTTGCTCAGATTTTAATGAAAACTCACACCGCTTAGAATTACAGAATAAATGAATGGTGAGAGTGAGTCACTTCATGCCATTCGATAAATGAATTTATCCACCTAGAGTAAGAGAGATCACTAAAGATCCCGACCTGTAACACGAAGGCTCGCTAAAAAATAAGCAGATAAAAAGAAAGAGCCTTTGAAAAATAATAAAGACGAATAGAACAACAGATGATCGATTCAGGAAGATTATTCTAGTCGGCGACCAAAAAAAAGAAGAATGTATGGTATGTGGTCTGACGACATGAAGCGTTGAGCGAAGAGTCAATTAAAACCGAATGCACTTAAAAAGTGGACCTCATTTCTAAGGAATTTTTTCTAGTTTATATTACAGCTGATGTTAAGAGCTTTCGAAATATATATTCAGAGTTCTCTGGCCAGAAGCCATTACTGAGATATCAGCGTTTTTCCAGAACCTGTTTACCATGGCAGCAGACTTTAAATTCTAAAAGTTGTTGTAGTACTCATATGTAATATATGGATTTCTGACACAATTTGGGGTCTCGTATTTATTCATCGATCAAACAAAATGCTGATATGGTCTACAGGCTCTAAAAATATCTCCTTCATCTAGTTAACTTATGTTAATTGAGATAAATGGGTTACAGTTACTACCCACATCTGTACTTTTATATTAACAGGTTTTGGAAAAAATACTGATATAACGGCTTCTGGCAACCACATACTGTTTGAGAAGAGAAACCGTTAACACGAAATAACGTTAATATAAAGATACTTGGAATGCAGACTTTTTGTAGTATAAGGATAGAATTAATACCGAAAATGCTTTATAATGATGAAATATAGCTAATCAAGATTTTAGTATAAGGCTCATGCCCATTTTGCAAGCAGTTTTATTTTTGATTGTTTTATGATTTTCCAAATTGCAAGCAAGAACTTTTTTTCAAACGTTGTCCATCTCCCATTTTGCAAGCAAAAAAACTAACCAAAATTTTCCCATTTTGCAAGCATACTATCTAATAGAAAAGAAAGAATTTATGTTATAAATCTAAACGTTGTCTGATTAATTAATCCTAATTATTAGAGTACTTAAAACGAATGTTTTTAATCGCAACAGAAATCTGTTTTTTGGATCAAACGATAGTTTGACGCGCGGTGCCGTGATATATTAGAATCCAACACTGGATTACCGTCTAAAAAGCGCCGGAAAGAAAATGAAGAGAACTATTTTGCCTTTGGCGAAAACAGCTTTAACCATTGGAGCAATTGACATAAAACAATATCTAGAACACGTAAGGAAAACTGCCTACCGGTTCATACATAACGTTGGTGGAAAAGACGCAGAGTAGCGCATATTGTTGAACTACAGCTGTTTTTTTGTCCAGGACACATTGGAGGCACTTGTAAGACACATTAATGAAAACGATAACGCGTCATCAATAAATCGTGTCATGGTTTCCATAGGGTTTTGTCTGTCAAAAAAAATTCTTTCACGGCGTAACGCCCTTCTCAACAACCACTGATTAACTAGCGCCATTATTTCTTTTATTTATTTCGCAAAATACAAGTGTCAATAAAAAACAGTTAAAAAATGTTGTTTGTTTACTCTAATACTTCAATTTTTATATCATATTATAAGCACAGTAAAAGTTAAGACAAACTTAAGACACCTACAGACTAGTCTTAACTTAAGCGTGGACTTAAGTCTAACTTAAGTTAAGTCTATGACTTAAGAATTTTTGTGGAACACTCAAAATTAAGTCTAACTTAACTTAAGACAAAACGGAGACTTAAGTATGACTTAAGTCTAAGTCGAGGACTTAAGAATTTCTGTGAAACACCCTCCTGGTCCGTATGTGGTTAGTGGTTATATGTGTGGTTTGTATTTTTTATTTCAAAATAAAGGGGGAAATATAAGCAGATCAAATAAAAGCAGATCAATGCATCAGCTTAAACTTTTAATATAGCAAACGCTATCTCTCGAGTCTCCCATTTCAGTTAGTTGTTATCTATTTTTTAAGATTCGAGTGATTATGATATTGGCTGATACAAAAATATTTATTGAACGTTTTTTATTGTTTTAGGTTGAAACGGAAAATGGTCTTTCTCATTAATATATCTTAGTGGATGTATGGACATCTCAAAATTACAACCAGACAAGGTTAGAGAATAAGTTGTTTCGCTGCAAGTATCTCGCTATTGCAGTCACTCCTTCATTTCTCGAGTTAATCTGTAGTCCTCGTTAGTTAAAAGAAACAGGAAATACTTTCGTCAGCTTTTATTCAAGTAACAAGAGCAGGTTCCAAAAGAGAAATTCCGACAAACAACTAACTGTATTTCTATCACACACACATAGATACAGTTTCACACGCAAAACATATAAGAGCCCGAAGGTCAACATAAACACACAGATATATAAATCAAACGTGCAACGTTAAAACCATTATTGTTACTAATGTTCTTATTGTAATTATAATATATTTCATATTCATCATCGTCCTCTTCTTTATTGTCTTTATTATTTTCTATCTTTTGTTGTACATATTCCAAATTAATTTCATCTTTTATGTTGTATATTATCATTCTTGTTTTCTTTATCATTTAAGGATAAAGATTGTAGTGATGAACGTTTTATATCATTTAAATTTTCTGCTGTTGGAGCATGTGGAAGATTTTTTCGACGATTTACACCACGAGTATTTCAACAGAATGAACCAATAACAGCATTGAATGATGTACGGAATTTCTTACTGTCATTGCCAACATCTCTGTAATGTGTATCAGCAACATAGCCTAAATGACATAAAAACTAACCTAGGTAAACATATAGAATCTACAGAGGACGCGGCGCGGAAATATTTTTTCATTAAAAATAATCTACACATTTTTATATACCCTAAAATGGCAGCAATCGAAGATTTTAGACGATATAATTCAGGATTTCGAAGATACTAAATTTTTTAAAACTCTATGAAATTCTCATAAAAACGCAGTTAGAGTTATTACCTTTTGATGATTTTCACGTCCATTTTTCGGATTAACGTCTCCTTCCATGCAACATCAAGAGTCGATTTCGTTCAGATTAACTAAATATTTCGAGACGATTTTCTTTTTTACAACACTATTCTTAAGAGTATTTATAGTCTGTTTCCAGCTTTCATAGTTTGTTTGCTATCCTGTTGAAGATGACAAACGCTAAGAAAATTGCTTTCTATACAAAATAGGAGTGGACAAAATAGAATGACAATTAGTATATTCCAAAATAGATGTAGCAGAGTAGAAAAAGACTTGGAATATTTTGAAAATAGTATTCTGATAAAGAACATCGACTGAAACATTCAATTAATTAACAAGATTGCATTTTAAAGTTGGAGCTAAACTACAGGGAAATAGTCCAAACTAAACTACATACTAAATATTTGTTCTATTAAAGCTTTATTTAAATTTAATAACGATGTGTAATTTTGTTGTGAAAGATCCACAGTCAGGAAACAATTGATAATCATTGCTCGTGTCGTTTCCTGCCACGATGTTCCGTTACATTCTGCTAATTGTTTTGGTGTTAAAAGGCAATTTATTATACATCTGAAAGACAAAAACATCTAGTATTTAAACGAAAATATAAATAATAGTTTTCCTACTTTTAGTAAAGCTGAACTGTTTGTTGCGTGCTTTTGTACAGTTGCACGCTGCAGTATTGTTTCGAAATATGAAACATGTGATGTCGGAGGTGGTGCTAAAAAATCACAATTAAATGGAAAATAAAACGCAGAAAGTTGCTCTTTTGGCTTTGAAAAGACTTTAGAAATGTAAAAATGTTTTATTTAAAAAGCAACATGCGAATGCAAGTAGCCATTATTTCGGCATTTTTTTCATTCAAATGTGTAATTTCGGCACGAAGATTGGCAACTATCATTTCACACATTATATTTTTGCAACCTACAGATAAAAAACATAATTTCGCTCTAAATTCATTTCTAACCACTTAAGCGCTAGTAATATTTCATATTTCATAGTGAAGCCTACTGTAAGACTCACGCGGGAACCTCCCGAGGTGATAAATCGCTTTTTGATCGACATCTAGTGGGTTATAGGTTATCGACCATGCTGATTCCGAATATGGTTATGGGACTTCCCCATAGGCCTTCGAAGATCCGGTCTTCTGGAAAATCAGTTTTTCAGAAACCCCAAAAAAGAACCCAAACTTTTCTTAACGATGCAGAATTGTAGCGCACAAATTTCTGATTAAAATGAAACATCCCCCACCTCTACACGACCTTTCTCTGCAAAGTTATGGAATTTATAAGAAGAGCCCTAAATTAATTATTTCTGTAGCTTTGAGCTGACAATGAACAATTTAGAGCTTTTCTTATAAATTCTATAACTTTGCAAAGAAAGGTCGTGTAGAGCTGGGGAATGTTTCATTTTAATCAGAAATGTTCGCGCTACAATTCTGCATTGTTAAGAAAAGTTTGGGTTCTTTTTTGGGGTTTCTGAAAAACTGGTTTTCCAGAAGACCGGATCTTCGAAGGCCTATGGGGAAGTCCCATAACCATATTCGGAATCAGCATGGTCGATAACCTATAGTGAAATAGTCAATAATGACTGAAATGTAGCTGTTTCCCCTGGGAGTTTTAGGGAGTGGGCCTGTGAGATCTATTCCGAGCGTATGCCAGGACGTTTGCACAATATGTGATTGCATTAAACGGGCCTTTTTTTCATTAGCAGCATTAAAACGTTGACGAAGGTCGCAAGATCTTACATAGTTCGCTACGTCGCGCCTCATTACTCCCCAGTGGAAACGGATTGATAGTCTATGTAGAGTTTTTCGGCGACCTGAATGACCTGACGCAGGATGATCGTGTGCGAGTTTCAGCAGATCTAGACGTTTTGAATGTGGGATGACCAAAAGGTGGGGACTAAAACTGTTTTTTAGGGGAGATTCTTCGTCAAATTTGCGGACTCTATAGAGTTTTCCATCGATGACTTTATGGTTTTTGGCGAGATTTTGGACTTTTTGGTAATATCCGGTTAATCCGAGAAAAGCACGGACGTCTTTCGGTCGAGCAGGGATGGAAAAAGCTCTTACCGCCTCTAATTTGTCCGGATCCGGCTGGATTCGTCGGGCGCTGATAATATGGCCGAGATATTTTAGTTCTTGCCGGCAAAAGAAGCACTTGGAGGGCTTTAAAGTCAAGCCGCTGTCTTGAATGCGTCCGAGTACGTTATTTACATCTTTGAAATGTTGTTCGAAGCTAGGAGAATAAATGATGGCATCATCGAGATAAACCATGCAGCAGCTCCATTTCAAGCCTCTTAGAACTAAGTCCATGAGGCGTTGAAACGTCGCTGGTGCATTAGTTAGCCCGAACGGCATCACCCTGAATTGCCTTCATGCGTCACGAAAGCTGTTTTCTCCCTACTACTATCATCTAACTCAACCTGCCAGAAGTCCGAGGAGATCTAGAGTGCTAAAATATTTAGCACTTTTTAGTGCATCAAGAGTATCGTCGATGCGGGGAATAGGGTATGTGTCTTTGATGGTAATATCGTTGAGCTTTCGAAAATCGATGCAAAAACGGAGTGAGCCATCTTTTTTGGGAACAAGAGTGACAGGACTACCCCAAGGACCGAAACTGGGCCCTGCGATGTCATTCTGAAGCATTTCTGTAGTTTGATTCGAATATTCCACTTTTCTTTCAGGATTTAATAACCTATAAGGGCCTTGTTTTATAGGTTTAGAATCGCCCACATCGATATGATGTCGAACAACATCAGTTCGCCCTGGTTTTGAAGAGAAAATATCCGGATAGTTCGATAAAAGTTGACGTAGGCGATTTTCTTGATCGAATGTAAGACCTGCGGACGTAAGATCAAGCTTAGCAAGCCAATCGCCTGGTATATCTATAGTATCCGTAGATGGCTTCAATAGCTTATCGGCAGTGTCAACGTTAGAAGGAGGAGTTACTAATGGAAAAACAGCAGCATCGGTGGCTTTCTGTAGGGAATGGATAGTTATGTCATTAGGAGGGTCTAATCTCTCGTAAACAGCAGGGTTTTGAGCAGAAGAAAGCATAAAGCACGAACCGAAATCTTCTTCTCCTATATATTCATCTTCTTTGAACCCCAATTTTGAATCGGCGATGAATTTGGCAATTGGATCTTGTTTGAGCAATCGTTTCCAAACTTTCTCTATGTATCTGTCAAACTTCTTCTCAGTAATGTAATTAGGCATGTGTTTCTGTCCTTCTTTTGGTGCAGGCCTCGGTGATTCCTGTTTGACAACTGATGATGAATTGTTTTCCTCTTTAGCTTCATGCATTAGCGCTGAATCGGGTTTTTATACGGGCGATTTTAAGTGAAACCGAGCAGTGCATTAAAATAAGGAATGTTTAAAATGTCGGGCAGCAAAGTTTCATTCGATTCAAATTCAATTTTGACATGGCGCTATTTTCTACGTATGTTTTTTAAGGCAAGTTTAATCCACGGTTTCTCTGTTGGAGTTTTTTCGACCAATGAGAATTGATGAAAGAGAGAATGGATCAAAAGTGTGTTTGTTTAGTTTTAACTACAGTTCATTTTTTTGCGTTAATTTGTGCCGAGTTGATTGAAGCTGAAGTCAAGCTAATTAAAATTTAAGTGCCAAATGCTGTGGAACTGCTTTAAAGCGTCGTGTTTATCCTGCCCCACTCTGTGCTGGTGTTTATAAATTGTTTAAATGATATTTTCTTAATCGTAGTTTTATTCGGCAGCCTTTCAGATAAATCTTCAAGTTCCCAAACATTGAATATATAAACCATTCATTGATTAATAATAATAATTAGAACCATTCGGTTGATGGATGAAGATCGCTTGATTTTCATTTCCCGAACCCATCTGATTCCAGAATCGAATGTCATATCTCTACTGGACGTCGTCGTGTGAAATCTTCGCACCGTCTAAAATCTTGTGTATTACCATCTTTCAGTCACTCAAAATAACAGTGTTATAAGAAGTTTTAGTCAAAAACTAGCCTGTGGATCATTCACGAAATTTGTGGTTAGGAAAGATTAGATATTGACTTCAATACTTGGTCCACATTATCAAAAGTTGTTCGGATTCTGGCTTTAATACGCACCGTTCTCCCTTTGCCAAAGCTGTAACTGAAAAAATTCAAATTTCAGTTGCATACGCTGTTATATACGGCCAAATCTGCTCTTCTTACCTACGAGTTTTAGAGAAACAAAAAACAGGGTAGGAAAAGGATCTCCTTTCCTTTGAAGATTGTCTTATCTTATTTGAACAATTAATAAAAGATAATTTCGATTTTAATCAAGCGTTTTCATCCTACAGTGAACAACGTGTTAAAGGTGTACACTCATTGGTCGATTTATCAATGTATAACTATTTAGAACTAAGCACTTTAGTAACAAAACAAACATTTTTATTAAGAAAAAACCTAGATAATTTATTATATCGTATATTTCCAAAATATTGGATTCCACTTTATACCATGGTTACGTTTACAAGAATTCCATATAAAAAATGCATTGAATATCGAAAAGGACAAGATAAAATATTAAAAATAATACGTTTATTATCCTATACAATTATTGGATTATTAGTACTGTTTTCTTTTATTATTTTTATTCTTAATTTTACTTAAAAACGTCAAGGAGGATGAAAATCCATGAGTTTTGAAAAGAGGTATCTTTTACCTCTTTCAGTTTTCGGTTTCAGATGAGGTCTGAAAAGTTGAAAAACACTCACACGTATGTAGAATCGTTCACTCTATCCAAAACATGTCAAAGGAGATTTGAAATAATTACTGTAGCATCAATGTTTCGCACAAAACTGAAAAATTGACCAAAATTAGACTAATCCATCATTTCATCACCATTTTTAAGCTATAACCAAGTCTCCATCAATTGAGAGAGACACTTGATTTTTGCTCTAAAAAATTGAGAATTACGTACAAAATTGTGACTTATCAAAAATTAAGATTTTGCCCATGTTTCCCATGCCTTTTTAAAATTTTGGGGTCAGATTTGAAATCAGCATGAAAAATTGAATCGACCTATGCGTTTCTCTCAATTGATGTAATAGCTTATATTAGCTCTATTATAGAGCTTTTCAAGAGCTATTTTTCCATACTAAAGACTAGTTAGATCCTCTCTTATCTATGGAAGTAAAATGGCTAAAACATCAATTGTGTTGACTTTTAGGTGTCGTTTGGCTCGTATTTGACCTATAAAGGATTGAGCCAATGATATGTAGGGTTTGTTTAATCAGAATACTGCAGAGTTTTTCAAGAACTATTTTTTTGCATCAAGCTTTACCATAACTTTATATTAGATTTTGAACAAAATCGTTTTCGTTAAGCACCGATATGCTTTATGTACCTCCTCAAAAAGATATTTTAAAAACCGTCCATAATGTTATAATGATTCATATGCACTTCAAAATGTGTAAAATCGTTTTCTCTACAAAATGTGATCCTAACTAAGTCGAAAAAGCAGTGGGCCAAAAGCAGTGGAAAAGCGAGAGCACTTCTTTTATCCCTAACTCGCAGACGAATGTTTATTTGTGGCTCACCCTCATCAACCCGACCCTCCAGCCCCGCGCAGCTGCTGCGCGTTGTTTGCACTAGTCTAGTGTCCATCCTAACTCGGGTGTCCATTCCAACTATGATGCATCGCAATTCCAATTCGAACTTCAAAGAAAAATTTTATTTTTTCTAAACTTTTACAGTAAAGTGTCTATCGCTATTCGGATTCGAAATCGAACCGCTTCTTTCGAACTAGAATTAGACTGTTGTGTCGTGAATTATATTCGAATTCGAATTAGGCAACTCATGTAAAAACATCATGTGCATTGATATAAGCTGCTTGTAAACAATTACCCACAATAGTGAACAGCATATCTACTTTAATTTCCTTCTGGGCCTAAGAATGTTCTTGTCGGTTTGAACACTAGACACGTGTGTTGGTGAAAGAGAATAATGATAAATTTCAGCGACATTTCAACGAGTAGATTTTGTAAGTTTTGGTTTGTTTGTTGTAAGATTTTGTTTCTCCTAGATCTTTGGAAAATCAGCTCGGATTTCCAGAAACCGATATAGCAATCTATCGTTCTTTTTTCGTAGATGGATAGTCAAAAGTATCCTCTAAAAAATAAGATGTAAGCAAACGTTTTCCTATTTTTAAGTCAAATCAAGAAATTCATAACCTAATCAAGATACATCCAAATTATATCAGAATATCAATATTTTACCAATAATTGTGCGAAAACTGTTTTTTTCCTGGTAGATATCGTTATGAATGATTTTATTGTCAAAAATGGGGACGAAAAGAAGTTTCCGTACAATATGTTGAAACGTTATGTAGACGACATAATTTTAGTTTCAGAATTAGATAAGGATCAAATTAAGGAGTTAGTATTACATCTAAACCAAAAGAATTTTCTTCTATTTTTAAGATCTGACAATTTCAGTTTCTTAATAAGAACAGAACCATTGGAAACATAGTCATCGCAGCTCGTACGAGCTGCTTACTTACGAACACATGTTCATTGAGATAAGTGAGTTAAAAAAACATTGTCATATACCACACAGCAATAATCTATAATTGGTAAAATGCAGATCCTTAAGATACGACGACGGATAAACGAAGGAGTGCTTATGAAGGTGCGCTAAATTGCGCCTATCACCTGCCTACATCTTTTACTACTTTTATCTAAATGAAAGTTTCAGGTGAAACGTCTAAGTCTCTTATCAGTGTCCTACAAGAGTCTTATCGGAATTGTATCAGTTTCTTATATAAGATTGTTTAAGATTTTCCATCCACAGTCCTGAGTGTCTTATAAGAATCTTATAAGATTTTCATAAGAGGCTCGTAAGAAATTCGTAAGTACCAAAAATTCTTATGAAGTTTTCCAGCCAGTAGAAGCAACTTAATCATAACAGAAATCACTAAAACCACCTCATAAGCTGCCTTCTAGTAAATAAGAATAACATAAGAATTTTTGGCACTTCTTATGAATTTCTAACAAATCTCGTATGAAAATCTTATAAGATTCTTATAAGACACTTACGACTGTCGATGGGAAATCTTAAACACTATTATATAAGAAACTGATAAGATTCCGATAAGAATCTTATCAGTTTTATCAAAAAGAATTTGTCTAGGGTTGTACATGCCACAAAACCATCATACTGGATTGAAAAATAAACTTTAGATATGGGATCTTATTATAAGACCGATAACTCAATTTGTCTTATTTTCTACAACTGTTCGAATTTTAAGACAGAATCATGAGAAGGGATAAGTACTGTCAGTCTAGCTGATGTCAATGTTTTACACGAGAAAAATGTAAAAGTTCTCAGTGTATTTTCATTGAATCTTTTTTCTTTGTATACTAGTGAATGCGAAACAAAATAAATGAATAATTTCCGGTACTTTAGATGGTAAAAACGAGACCTTTTCTTCGATCTTAAAAATAAGACTGATAAAGACGCATTTTTGTTCTTTGTTTTTGAGACACTTCCCAGTGGTGCAAAGAGTCTACATCCAAAATACTTTCAAGCACACTTTGTCCTAAATGAGATGGTTCTAAGCTCAATCGATAGAGTATTGAATTCTCTACAAAACTTGCTATTTGAATCTCGAAGAGCATTTTTCTCGTTTGAACACCATTCAAAATATTGAAGGATGCTGAGTTGTCGAACTGCGACACACTGAAGTCGTTTCGTTCTTTTTAGATTTTTAGCCCGTTTTCGGATGTTCAATAGTTAAGTTTTCTACGTACAAAGATAGAGACTTATGTGCTCTATTGATCTCACTCATTTACAACTTCATACAATGTTTCCGCTACGTCAGCCGGAATCATAATGGAATCAACCGGCTTTCCAATTTTTTCAAGTTAAATTATTTCTTTTAGTTAATGCTTTCAATTGAGAAACTTTGTTTATATATCAAAAGACGCAGGATTTAATTCTGTGTGGGATAATAAGACTAAAACCCTGGATTCAGAACGATATACAGTGTAAATATTCAAGTCAACAAAGGGGGGATTAGCTCCCTTTTATCGAATTAAATCGCGAAAAGTACGAATTGGTCGAAAAATTTCACTTTCAAATAGAAAAAATGCTTTCTGCTTTTTAAATATTGCCAGGTAGAAACTCTAATGCCATAACATACTTTTCTCGATTCCACGGCATCTGTCGACATCTTTTTCATTGGTTCCGAGATTGACCGATACAAGGATGATTTCTCTTTCTGCTCTTGTCTTAACTGAAATCTGAATCGAAAAAATTGCGAAAGTATTGAGTCAGGCTCGAGTAAAATAAGATGTATGCAGAATCGAATTCATTGTGTTTTCTTTGCTATTTTCTTTTGATCATGACTGATACGAGATAGCACTAACAGGCGCGAGATTACTCATTTTCGAGAAAGCTCGGTGAACACCGATTATAGTTTATTCCTAATCTAAGCTTGATAAATATCTGATGGAGTTGACTGAGATGTTAGCCATCTAGACTGCTATTTCTCAAAATCATTTTCTTGTTATTAAAATAGAGCTGGATTGAGTAATAGATTTTCTCAAATCAAAACTCATATATTGTGTAACCCGTATTTTTTCTTCAATACTGTGTTTTCTAGTCGACTTCGAAACCTTTATATTATTCTTTTAGATAAAATCTGTTTATTACATAAAATCCTAAATAATGGCTATGCAAAAACGTTCCAATCTGAGACTTCCACCAGAGGTTAACCGTGTTCTTTACGTTCGAAATTTACCGTATAAAATAACAGCTGAAGAAATGTACGATATATTTGGCAAATACGGTGCGATCAGACAAATTCGTGTCGGAAACACACCTGATACTCGTGGTACGTAATATATGAGGAAATAAAACATCTTTATCTGAGAGCTGAAATAAAGTAAGGTTATATCATCAGCCAATTAAACATTTTTTTTTTGTTTCAGGTACAGCATTTGTTGTTTACGAAGATATATTTGATGCTAAAAATGCGTGCGATCATTTATCAGGGTTTAACGTTTGCAATCGTTATTTAGTTGTATTATATTATCAACCAAACAAAGCATTCAAAAGTCTTGATATCGAGAAAGAAAAAGAAAAACTCGATAAAACAAAAACCAAATATGGTCTAAATGCATAGTTCCATTTGTTTACTAAACAACTGTATATTTTGTATACATCATATTTTATTCTAGTCTCTCAGTATTAACAATGAAAAAATGATAATTTGTTGAGTTTACAATGGATTGTTTTTTCTATGTTTTCATTTGAATGAAATGCTGTTTGGTTTTTTTCGTTTGTTTGTAACATATATAATATAATACACTGGTAAGCATATTTTGCTTATCAAACTTTTGTGTTGTATCTTGACTGAGAAACTAATATAGAAAGTATTTCCTTTAAATTATTGGTTTCAGCATTTTCGATATAGCTTTGGCAAGATGAGGAAAGTTTTATGGAGCAACTCTAAAAATTTAGGTGATAACCAAAAAACGAGGACTTTTAACTTATCGGAGTAATTTAGTAGGAGTAAATTTTTTAAAATGAACGGAGTAATTGTTTCAAACAAGGTGGGAGAATTCTTCCACCTAATCGAAATCGCTGATTGATTTGTTTATTTGTAGCTTAAATACAGAAAGATTTTGAACTTGTCCAGTCATATTGCAGCTGAATCAATGACACTAATTGTGTTACACTTCAAAAAATATTACACATTTTCATCGACATTTATTTCTAGATGCCGACCAGTGCAATGATCTCAATAAATTACCAAATATCTATTGATACAGGATAGAACATTTTCTTGTATCCTTCTTGTTTATTGATCATTGTACGTGTTTACGAAATGGTTAATGATGATGAGAAATGATCATCAACAAAGAAAGACAATACAAGAATTATTCAAATATAAAATGATATTAGAGAAATTCAAGTGTGATTGGATATACTTTCAGTCGTATTATTCAACATTTATTTTCGTGAAACGTGTTTTTCAATCAGTAGGCAAGTATAACTCGATTAATTAATTCAAGACATATTTACAGAAATGTTAACTTCAAAAAACCTGATATGGATTGAATTTTGGAGAATGAGGGATAAAAGAGAAAATATTATACATGGACGCACAAAATTTTGAAACTATAAAGTACTCTGTTGTCCATGTGTTTTCAATGGTGCTATGTATCTTTGTTCGAGTTTTGTAGTTGACTCAGGTCAACGGATATGCGATTCTTTTTCTCTTCTGTTACTACAGAACTTGGAACAAAACAGACATTCATTTTTGAAAATTTTTTCCTTTTTTTTAAGTTCGAAACCAAACATCTGCGATTTTTTTGTCGAGTTCTGAAAACAAAGTTTTTCTGCTCTTTATTGGAGAATGGTACATAGAAAAGAACGACAAGCACATAATTGACATACTTTTTTTATCGAATGTCAGACGAGAAAGGTTTTAAAATAGTATCGAAAGGACTTAACATAACGTTGTTAAAAGAGACAGTTTAGAAACTATGACTAGTAGTTTTTTTCTTTGTTAGACCGAGTGGAATCAGGGATATCACATCTAAAAGCTAAAAAAAAGAAATTAAAAAAATCAGAATCATAACACTGTAGAGCAGAAACATCGCAGAAAAAATTCCAAAAATCAGAATTTTTCTATAAAAATTGGGATCTCTGAGTGGAATACGAATTCATTTTTTTTTTCAGTTGAAAAAGACCGGTCTTTTTGAATAATATTCAACACATTTAATTTGCAAAGAATTAGTCTCACATACCGATGGATCTTTTCCACTGGAACCGCCAACAAACACATGTTTTTGTTTTTTTTCACAAATAGTATAGTTCTTTTGTTTTTATCATATACAAACTATAGAAATGCTTATTTTTTTTCTGTTTTCAGATGATTCGCGTGTATTAGTCAAAAGTATCATCTAACCTATAGACTTTTTTTATGATTAAGGCTAAAAAGTATCTTGTCGGTGAGATTGCAGGTTCGACAATTGACAATCTGTTTTTAATCTAAGAAAAAAAAATGATTTTAAGCAAACTATCGGTCAGATGGTGTCATTGCTAGACGGAAAAAACAGCGTCTATGTATTAGTTCAAAACATGATGCACAACATTTTCATCAACGTTAACTAACGTTATTAAACGAATGAATTCTCTCTGGTAATAACAAAAAAAGATTCTTTTACAGTACTGAGAGAAGATAATACGTTAGTACATTTTTAAGATGTTAATGTATATTTTTGTCATACGACGTGTGCTTTGGGCGATGATCACATTATACAGAACTCCGTTAAAATTTAAGTAAAATTTAAGTTTTAGCACAAGTGACAAATGAGAAAATAAACTCGGAGTCTTGATATTTCTGGTGAAATCGTTTCTCTAAAAATGTTTGCAGAAATTGTATTAGAAGCTAAAAATAAAAAGTTATAGGTTATATGAGATTCTAGGTCAAAAGAGTTTTTATTGGATAAAGTACAGGTTATTAAAAGGTTCTATCCCTTATTGAAAATTAATATTCAAGACCATTCTTATCATCAGAAACTATCGTAGTGACATTCGTAATGAATTTCTATAGTGTTTGAAGTAAAAATATTCCTTGATCATTCAAACGAGGAACAATGTAAATTAATAGAAAACTGGTTTCTCTTACAGTTTCAATTATGATTAATTTGAGTGAAAACTTAAATAAACGTAAAAATCACAATCTTCTTTTATGTCATAGACATTTAAATTAAATAATTAGTTTATCAAAATCATTTAGCTAATTCATTGGATTTTCTCATCTTAAATAGTGTTATTTATGAAAAAATGGTTCAGTATATAAATTATATTCTATTAATATATATTGTAGAGAAACATCGTTCTATTATCATTGAGTGTCTATTATATTTTGTTGAGTATCATGAACCAATTTGTTTTATATTAGAAGATGTCTAATTCATTAAACAAAATAAAAAAAAATTGATTCAGAGATAAAAATAAAATTTTAGTAGTAAAAAAAAAAAGTATATAAGTTATTTGAAATGTTCAGTCTCAAAAGATGATGCGTTTATAGCATAATCTGTTTTGTTATTTGTTAAGATTCTGAAAATAAAGACATCTGATATAATACTTATCAATAATGGTATGTAGATAGAGAGCTAAAGATCGATCGTCTACATATGTGAATTGATAATATCAGTCTCATACAGACATAAAAATCATTTTTATTATTTTTTTTCACTGATAAATATCATGAAGATGATGAAACAGAAACAGACATGGGAAAAAGATAGTGTACACGTAGTTGTGTGTGTGTGTGTGTGTGTGTGTGTGTGTATACATATACATCCTTGACTATTATTTCACAATCGTTTTTGATATCAGTTGTATGTTGAAAAAAACAAGATTTTTTTGTTTTTGTAGAGTACAAAAAAATATCGAGTAGAAAAAACAATAGAAAAGTCAGTCTGTAAATAATCCACTTAAAATTAGTGTGTACGTAAATGATTATATCCATACACAATAGGTGATTATTCTCAGTATTATTTTATCATCTGGAAAAAAGTAAATGACATAAAGATATTTTGTTATTGTATCTTAAAAATTTTGTTTTCTTCTACTCTCTAACACAATAGTAAACCGTTTATTGTTAAAAAAAAATTTTATTTTCAAAGATGAAATTGATTATCGATACTCTTAAACTGAACTTCCTCTTCTTCTCTTATTACTATCATAGATTTTCGCCAGACTATATTCTCGTTGACAGTGAGATTAATAAAAAAAAAATATGATTATCATTGGCGTATAGGATGCTTGATGAAGCAAAAAAAAAAAAAAAAATGGTTTGAACTATCTAACAGATTGTTGGTTAATCATTGTAGAAGAGGGTCGTTGTACGATGTCTTTCTTTCGTATAGAGTTGTATTCTATTATATAGAGATTACGTTCATATTCACCAGTTCTGTTTAAAAATATGAATTGTGTTGACATCAACCTAATTACTTTATTATAGTGCGGAAAGAACGAAGAAGAGAAAAAAAAAACTTTCTCATAGTGTTCGATAATAGCAGTTCTTTGTTGTTACAATATATTCAAAGGAGCAGAAAAAAGAAACTGGTATATTCAAAAAGTACTAACAACATCCGTCATAATAGAAATACAGGCGTATAACAAAAATTCTAATTTAGGAAAAAAAAAAAAAAAAATTATATTCCAACAACTTTTTACTTTAGAAGTTAATTATTAATAATTTCAAATAGAATCTGTTCATGAACTATCTCAAATTTAATTAAGAAATAAGCTATTATTTCTTTGATAGACATATTGCAAATAGAAACAAACATATCTGAAGAGATGTGTCCTGTTGACCTCTACTTTCGAACATTCGGGTCAAAAAACAAAAAACAAAAAATTTTTTTTGAACAAATATCACTCTCTAGTGAATGATTAATTCATAGAGAAAAAAAAAAAGATTTTTCTTTTAATATAAATGAACAAAAACGAGACAATATTTTGAAAGACTATTAAAAAATGTTTTACTTTTTTTTTTATTTCGATAAAAGATCGAATGATCCTCTCCTCACTCAATATGTCAATTTTTTTTCCTCTATGTTCAATATAATAAATAATAAAACCAAATATATATAGAATATATTGTATAATTTGATTCAAACTGTAAAAAATTCTCATGAAAATAGAATAAAGGGCAAAAAAATTTATTCTAATTCGAGCAAGAGTTGTTTATAACCTTTTTTCTGTAGATTTTTATCCTATTTACCATATCTCTAATAGAATATCATACTTAACAATTAATTTTTATGATAGTTCATAGAGTTCATAATAAATAATCTACCTATAACGAACTCAACTCTTAAAATCTTTTGACAATAGACGAATTAAATAGAACTTGTATATATCATTTAGATCTTCTCTTAAAATGTTTCTCAAAGTCTAAAAACTTGTGATTTTTTTGTGCATAACAGGTGTTAACTAATATTTTCTCATCATTGTTTTTCATTATGTGTATATTTCCTTATTTTTTTCTTTATTCTCTACCAGTAGTCTATTGTCCAAACACTGTTGACACCAAATGGTGAGAATGAAATTTTGTGTAATGAGACCTATTACAAATAAAAGAAAAAAAGAAAAAAGGAAATCTTTCTTATCGTTGTCAAATTTGTTGAATAAAATTTTTTGACTTTTTTTTTCTATTTTGTACTGAAATAAAAAGCCTTTTTCCATTTCATTGTTATTAAAAAGAAAAACGTATTTCTAACAAACAAAAACTAATTTATTATTATTATCCTTTTAGTTTTAGTTTTATATTTTTGTACACCTACGTGTACTATTTACAAGCGAACATCATTTTTTTTACAAATTTATTTCGATTTTTTTTTCTTCTTCTTTTTGATTTTCTGAAGAAAAAAAAACATATTAAACGATTGAATATTTTAAAATTAAGATACTAACTCATTTTCATTCAAAATTAATAAAGAATAAAAATAATTTCAATTTATTTTGGTCTCAATCAAAAAAAAAAAAGACATCAAATCGTTTTTTCCACATTTTTTGAAAAATAAAAAAAAAACAAAGATCGTCTGTTAGAATCCCGGAAAAGAAGTCAAAGTTATTCATTCGTTTCAAATTTTTGTGAATTATATGAACTTAAGCATATGATAGAATAAATCTGTTTAGTCTGATTTGTTTTTCAATCATATAAAATATTGTCTATTTACATGATAAATCTTATCAATAAATTTACTGTTATTCTAAATGCCACCGTAACTATAGGATGTAGCAGCTTGTTGTCAGAAAGTAAAAAAGAGGAAAAAAAAATAGAAGAATAGATTTACATAATAATTTTTAAAATCTGTTCTTAAATTTCTTATGAGACTATCCCGATTTGAAATAAATATGATAAAAATCGCTAAATATATCTGAGATACTTGAGAAGAAGAAGAAAAAAAAGAATGATAAAATAGAATGCAGTGAAGCTGAGCAGATTAGTGTTAAAATTGAAAGTTTATTCCGATTATTATCACTTGAAAAAGCTCCAGTTTAGTAGAAAAAAAAAAAAAAAAATGAAGATAAAAATAAAAAAGAGAAAAGAAAAGAAAAGAAATATGTTTGTAGAGTTTTTTTTTGTTTTTTTTTTTGAAACGGATGAGAAAAAAAAGTGCCATGTAAAGTAGTAGTTTGCCATGCACTAATTGTTACTATATAGACAAAAAGGAAAGAAAAAGCAGAAGAAAAAAAACCTAAGTATCGGAAAAACACTAAAATTAGATATAGAAAGCGAGAGAGAGAGAGAGAGAGACAGAAGAGAGAAGAAAAACAGGAATGCTCTCGCGCGACAGAAGGCGACTCTTTTTTGGTTTCTCTTCTTTGCGATGTCTGTGTATGTGTTTTTGGACGATCAGCTATAAATATGGAGAAGATATAAAGATGTTATACCAATAAAAAATGAGAATAGTTTGTAGAGTTTTTTTATGTGTATGTGTGTGTGTGTATGTATGTATGTATATACATGTGGATTCTTCGTAATCAAAGCTGATATAAAAAAGACAACAAATCTCTCTATATATATAGAGAGAGAGAGAGATAGAATAATAATAATGTATAAGCCACTCTCTTCTTCTTATACTATGGACAGAAATTTACAATTTGTACTTTTTTTTATAGAATATACGCTATACATCTTATATACGTACAGAAAATATAGCGAAAAGGTTATTAAATCGATGTGTACGTGCGTGTATATGTATATATATATTTAGTTATTTGACAATTAAAAAACATTCTTTGTCATTTTTATCAAAGACAATCTGTGATCAAAATGATGATTATTGAACAATATTTTTAATCATTTAATTAATTGATTTATTGTTATTGTTATATTTTGAAAAAAACTAAATGGAATCACGTAAAAAAACGTTAGTATATCAATTACAAATGAGAAAAAAAATATTGTCGTGTGTTTGTTTTATATATCTTCTCTCTTTTTATTTTTCATTTAGCGTATATAGTTCAGATTCTAATTTTTTCATTTGTGAAAAACTATTAGGTGATACGCTTATTATGCCTGTCATTTTTAAAAACACAAAAAATACACAAAAAAAAATTCATTTTCATCGCACTTCGCACGGTGACATGTGGTGAACGATTTCTTGATAGAGATAAATTTTGTTCATGTTTGGCCGATATTGTGCTTTTTATTCAGCTTTATCCATGAATCAAAATTTTAAATAGTGGAGAAGTTATTTTTCATAGAAAAAAGAAATTATTTCTTTCTATTTAAATTAGTAAGTTTTGTACAATCGTGCATTCGATAAATAATATTTTTGTAAAATTTTCAATTTTATTATTCTACATATTAGATTGAGTCAATATACTCTCTTAACACCAATTTATTATCGCTCTTTTTGATAAGTCGACTATTTTAATAAATCAGTAAATAGATTTTTTTTTTTTTGATGAAATTTTTATTATTATAATATTGATTTTGAATAAGGTAAAACAATAAAAATATGACATTATTTCTTTTTAACTTTTTTTTTTCTTCTCATCTGAAAGCATACTGTTACTTATATATATATATATAGTATTAGAATTATTATTATTTAACAGTTTACAATATAAAAGAAAGTATATTTTGAACGATTGAAACAAAAGTATTAGTGGACGAACAAAATAATAAAATGAAAAAAAAATAAAAAGAAGAAGAAAAGTACAATCTTTTAATTCTAAACGGAAAAGTAGAGTCTAAAATATATGATACAACATCAATATAAAATTCTCGAAATGCAATACAATTGAGTTGTAGCAGTTAATTTATTTATCATTGTACAAGTCTTAAAAGAAGAAAACATAAAAAATGATTCTTCTTCTATTTTGCTATTTTATGGCGCCAAAATTCCAGTACTAGACGAATGATTATTAAGTCTATCTCTAACTCTCTCCATCATTGAAAAGTATTTATTATCATTATCATGTCGAATTGTGTAGGAGAAAAAAACAAAAAAAAAAAAAAAAGTCATGAAATTAAAAATGATTGATAGTAATAGGCAACAATCAGTCGATATAGAAAAAGAAGGAATTTTATATATTTATGTTTATGACAAGAGAGAAAGAGAGAAGTATAGTGAACAAGTGATGATACATATGTATCGTAACTTCAAAACATATATATATATTCTTTTTTACACTTGATAATGAGTAGGACTAGCAAAACAAAATCTTTGTTTAATACATAATTTAAACATTTTTGTTCAGAATATAAAATACTAGAGATCATTGTTTAATTGAAATTTTTGTTCTGAAAATAAGAAAATTATTCATGAGAAACGAAAGACGAGTAAGTAAATATAATTAATCGTTCTAATATGAATAAAATTCAATGAAATCACACAAATGTGACGTATTAGGTTTCCTTTCTAATTGTTTTCTTCTTCTTTTCGTTTAAAACGCATAAAATATCATCTTGCATAGAGTACTAGTATTATTATCAATATGTCTGCCCTTTTTATTCAATCATTTATTGTCTAAAACAAATTGTATTGATAACATTAATAAAATTTTTATTTAAATTTACTTTTTATGATATGAAGAGTACACACATATTATATCAGCATCCATTTTTAATTGAACTATGCATAAAGAACGTCTTCTATTCTTCTTTTTTTCTCTTTAAAAATTATTATTCATCAGTCGCTTGCTTGATGCCAAAGCTTGACCTTTATTTCTTGTTTTCCTCACAAATTATAGCTAATACTAAGCAAAAACAATATCCTTTATTTATGAAGTTTGCATGCGCGTACATATTATGCTTTATCATTGGCTGGATTCGTTTAAGTAAAAAACAAAAAAAAAAAAGCAAAATTTTTTTTGTTGTTGTATGTACATGGTATGTTTCATGTCATACTTTAATTCAAATATAAATAATTAATCAAAAATAATTTTTGTATCAGTCTTGTTTTATCTCTTTTTTTTTTTTTCATTCACCTTTTTTGTTTTTTTCTACCACTGATTTTACTAAATAAAATGATCACTTTCTCCTATGTTTTTCAGTAATCGAATATTGTTCTTTTCTTTCCAGTACATCTAGTCATCATTCGAAAGATGTTCATCATATACACTCATCATCAACAAATATTGTCACTGATATTGATCAAAAACAAAATGATATTTCTATAAATGAAAAAACAATGTCATCATCTAATAATTCAACTACAAAAATAAAATCGCCACAATTACATCATGAAAGATCTTTACCTCCACCTGTTGCACATCGTTTAACTATTAATGATTTATTTGATACAACACCAACATTACCGAATAGTAAACCACGTTTAGATATACTCAAAGATCATTTATTACAAGAAGGACGTTTAACAGAAGAAGCAGCATTATTAATTATTGAAAAAGGCGAAACGCTATTACGACATGAAAATACACTAATTGATTTAGAAGCACCAATAACGGTAAATATTCACTTTTTGTTTGTTTTTATTGAAATTATTATCTATTTATTTATTTTGTCTAGATATGTGGCGATATTCATGGACAATTTTATGATTTAATGAAATTAATTGAAGTTGGTGGTGAGTGATAATTGTATTAAGATTATTTTTTCTTTAGATTAACTATTCAAATTTTAATCTTATTAGGTGCTCCAGCAACGACACGTTATTTATTTTTGGGTGATTATGTTGATCGTGGTTACTTTTCAATTGAATGTGTACTGTATTTATGGTCATTGAAAATTACCTATCCAACAACATTCTTTTTACTACGAGGAAATCATGAATGTCGACATTTAACAGAATATTTTACATTCAAAACAGAATGTAGGCAACATATTCATTTTTTTTTTTAGAAATTTTTTTAAATTTTATAATATAATAGATCATATTTTCTTTTTATAGGCAAAATTAAATATACAGAACGTGTTTATGATGCTTGTATGCGTGCATTTGATGCTTTACCACTAGCTGGTCTCATTGAAAAACAATTTTTTTGTGTACATGGTATATTTTATATCATATTTTAAATTCAAACATAAAATATTTATAGATCTATTTTATTTTAGGCGGTCTGTCTCCAGAAATACTCACACTTGACGACATCCGAAAGGTAATTTTTGGTATAATCATATTTTTCAATTGTAATACGTTCTTTTTCTTAGCTTGATCGATTTAAAGAACCGCCACCTTACGGTCCTATGTGTGATTTATTATGGTCTGATCCAATCGATGATTATGGTCATGAGAAAACTGTTGATGAAAAATTTTTATTTAATGCTACACGTGGTTGCTCTTATTTTTATACATTCAAAGCAGTTCAGGATTTTCTACTACGAAATTCATTACTAACAGTTATTCGTGCACATGAAGCACAAGATGTAGGGTATGTTGACCTATTGTTGACTAATGGTTTCAATTAATAACCGTTTTTTGTTTATTTGTTTGTTTTGTTAAGCTATCGAATGTATCGTAAATGTTCACAGACTGGTTTTCCTAGTCTAATGACAATCTTCAGTGCACCAAATTATCTTGACGTCTATCAGAATAAAGCAGCCGTACTAAAATACGATACAAACGTTGTTAATATTCGACAATTTAATTATACAAATCATCCATATTGGTTACCAAATTTTATGAATGTATTTACATGGAGTTTACCGTTTGTTGGTGAAAAAGTGACAGAAATGTTAATTAATATTTTGAATATTTGCAGTGAAGAAGAACTCATTACGGATCCTGATCAGGAGAATAGTGATAATACTGCGGAAGCTAATAATTTTCGACGTGAAGCAATTCGAAGTAAAATACGAGCGGTGGGAAAAATGGCAAAAGTTTATTCATCTTTACGTGAAGCAAGTGAAAATGCTATTAGTTTAAAAGGTTTAACACCGGCAAGTAGTACAGAAAATTTAACAATGATGGATAGTGCAACAGATTCAGAAAATAATGGTGATAAAAGTTTAAAACAAAAAATAACAGATTTTTCATTTTCAACAGCAAAATCATTAGATCAAGTTAATGAACGAATGCCACCGTGGCTTGACGAAGAAAGTAGACAGCGTCTCATCAAAACACAAATGAATTCCACGAAGAAAATTGTCAGTGATGAGCATACTAAACCGGTGATTCAACAACAACAGTTTGACAATGAGGAAGAAAAACACACATCACCCATTGTTGTCATATGTAGAGAAGATGATGTTAAAGAACAACAAAAGATAAATGATAATAACAAAAAACAATTAAGGTAACAAGAGATTTTCTACTTTCGAAAGTGTTAAACTTAGAGTATAACTAGTCGTTCCAGTGAATTTTTACCTATATATGATCTTATTATCTATCTTCTCTCTAAACAGTATGAATCTATTGAATAGGAAGATTAACACTAATGATGATATAGCTTCCACAAAGCACATGTTCTATTACGTTTTAATTTCTATTATTGTTTAGTGATAACGAAACTGATTTTACGCTAGATAAAATGAAATCATCAACCGACTCTTCTATAAATAATCATAATCAAAAGAAACAACAAATAGAGAAGAAACAAACAACTCAGTCATTACCCACTGAAACCGGTGATAAAATGACCACGACTACGACTCCACTAAAAGATAACACAGAACCAATCGATCTCACGCCTATTCAACCAAGACTCAGTGATGATGAGCATTTAAAATCATCGTCGTCGTCGAATCGATTTTCATTAAAAAATCCTATGAGTTCAATACGTTCATGGGTCAAAAAGCAACGTTCTAATGCATCTACGACATCAGATGATACGAATAATAATGATGATAATAATGATGAAAATCATAATAATTATTCAACAATTAATTCAGTGACAAGACAAAAATCATCTGATGAAAAACATACACGTACAAATTCATCGAATCATGAGCATCAGAATTTGACAACAACATCAACTCATCAACAATTACAAACGTGTTCTAGTACACCACACAACTATACATCACCGTTATCTTCAAGAAAGAAAAAATTATCATTACGAGGTGCAAATCCAATATCACTATTGAAACGTTCCTCAGATTCACATGTACCTGTCGATAACAATAGTGAAAATGGATTAACAACAACGATGACCGGTGCAACAGTCGAACAACAAAATTCTCCTTTAGCAGGTGCATACAGTATGCTAAAAAACGTTTTATCATCTCATCGGCACACCACCGTAACTAATGTCACTCCTACCACTATTGGCTCAGAAACGAACAATCTCAAAGAGAAAAAATAGAACGGAACGCAAGTGTGCATATATTTCTCTATACATGCTCATGATCGTGATCCCTTTGTTTTCATTCTTATTTCCAAAGAGTTCTCTCAAAAAGAAGAGTTTTCTGTATTTTTTTTTTCAGTAGCCTGTACATAAAATTTCCAAGAAACAAAAATAACAATATTTCCGCTATTGAAACTAAAGTTTTGTGTTTTGTGTTAAAATTCAAAATGAGATTGAGTAATAAAATATTAAGAAAAAGTATGCTGATTTTCTTTTTTATATGGAGAACACAATTTTACAGAAAAATGCTTAACATTTTAGGTTTAGTCAGTTTGTGTTTATAATTGAAAGCTTTGTAAACTTTTGTTTTGTCATTCAAATCATATACACGATATATATTTCATTATAAATTGAGGATGACTTCTTTAAATTAAAAAATCTTATTATTGTAGTAGCACATGACATATTATCATAGATCATTTGAGTTTATTAACCTTTTTCTTGTCATTTATTTTTACACACATATACGTCATGTGTTCAGTATACGGTTAGTGCAGTTTATTTTTAATGATAACAAATTGATCATCATTAACCTTTAGAGAAATAAATTTAATCATATCGAATGCTGATAAAATACCGATTCTTTTGATTTTTATTATAAAGATTTATTCGTACAAACAATTAGCGATTTGACGATGCTGTTATACTAGATATTTTTTCTTATCTAGTAGTAGTCGCGTCTTTTGTAGTAGTATGACGTCTTCTCAAATTTGATATATACTCAGTTAAAATGAGAGATGATGAGATGGTTAGTTATTTATAACATCGATACGGTTATTGATGAAATTAAACTAAAACGAAAACAATTTCACACATATATGTTTAATAATTTAGAAAACTGTTAAATTCAGTCCTGGTATGTTTTCAACGATCTGTCATCCCAGAGAAGTTGGTTAAAACAAAGATTCAAATAAAGTACAAGTTCAACTTGGACCATATTTTGGTGTCTATAAGTGTAGAATTCCAATTGTACCAATATTAGTTTTAGTAGTTATTTCGATATATAGTCGATGTTTAAAATTATGAGTATCAGTTATAGTTGCTAAAAACGAAAACAGATGTATTACCGTACGCTGAACAAAGCAAAATGTTACTTTTAAAATAACTATCTCATCTCTCATAAGGTTAGAGAACATCTGTATTACAATATCTAAATATTATTTATATCTCACAGTTCACAAAATTCGAATAATCTTTACGTCGCATATTTCTTCTATTTAACACATTATGACTATTATTTAATATGCAAAAGTCGATGTAAAAACTACAGCTGCAGTATAGATAAGATAACTTTCTGTAACGAATATAATTATTATTAGTATTATTCATTCAATGTATTGATAGATAGATTGATTTGGTACTAGTCTGCAGAACAAATTGGGCCTTTTTTACTCACATCACATACATACACATTTCTAAACACAATTAAAAGACGATCAGTATATTATATATTTCTACTTTTATTTTGTGTTCTATACTCAACAGTCTTCTATGGACGTTTATCTTTCTTCGAGCAATTATAGTTCATGTTTATTGCTGTGTGTGTGTGCGTGTGTGATATATACATATATACCACATGAGTATACATAAATTTATGTATATTGAGTGATGATGATGAAAAGTGCAGTTGGAAGCGTTTGACGTCATTGCTGATGATTGCGCATGTTGTTGTTTTTTAGATCAAGGCAATGTGTTGAGTTTTTATTAACAGAAATGCGTTAAAGACAGATAAACATCTGTTGATATAATCACGTATTCTAGAAACGATATTTGACAAGGACATTTAGGCCGTTCTAAGAATATTAAGACAGTTTTCTATAAACAGTATTTGAAAACAGACTAATTTTATCTGTTTAGCTTTGACGCAATGAACTGAGTTTTAACGAACATGTATTTGTTGAAAGATGTTTGCAAAATAAAAAAGAAGGACCTGTCAAAAGATAAAGCATCCAATCGAAAAGCTGTTTAATGTCGCATAAGTTTCTTGCGAATATTATTCCATATACTGTAAAACTATTATTTTAGATCTTTATTAAGCTAATTTAAGATATTTTTATATCCATCAGTTGAAGATAATCAATACAGATCTGTGTATGTCTTTCACTGTTGTTTTAGATGTCATCTAAAACGCCTAATGTGCAAAAAAAAGATGAAAAACTTACGAATGATTGTGATAAAGATGATTTAGATGCATTAGCAAGACAAATGATAATTCAAGAAACAAAACGACAGGCTATGAGAGCTAAAGAAGAAGGCGCTCTTGGATGGTTAAAGCCAAAACTTGTTACAAATAGAAAATTTTTGGGAAATATGTTAATATCGAATGCTGTACATAATACATATAAAAATCAAACAAGACAACAAACGTCAACGACGAGTACTACAACGTATATAGAAAAACAAATTAAAGTAGTTAGCAATAATAATGATGAAAGACAACGTTCATCTGACAATGGGAGAAAATATAAACGTAGACACCAAAGAAATGAGTCCAGTGATTCCGATGATAGTGATCACAAATCATATTCGAACAAAGAAAGACACAAAAAGCAAAAACGGTGACTATTTCACTGTCATCATTATCTTCTGCTAGCATAGCCATTGATGCTTCTGTAAAATAAAACAGAACGCTAACCAATATCTACTATTGTTTTCTTTAAAATTCAAAATTATTGATGGAATAAGGATTAAAAGGAAAAAAAATTGAAATGTCTCACACAGTGAGAAGAGATAAAATGAGACTTATTGTGGTATTTGGGCTCTATTTTTGTAAGAAATACTAGTCTACGTTTTAGATGCATTTTTCTTTGTTTTCAAAAGTTATTCGTTCTATGTAAATAAAAAGCCATTCTTCTGATATATTTTTAGCGATTGAAACATGTTCCAGTTATACTCATCGGCGAATTTTACTATATTGTTTTACTTTATTCCACGATCTTTTGTGCCTGGTTTGTACCACTAAAACGAAGATCAAACTGGCATTGTTACATTTCAATTTTCTTTGTATCACTTCAGAGATTTATAGTGAAGATCTATGTTGATGTTTTCGTGTGTTTGTATTTAATAATTCATTTTTCATCTACACTGGCGGCCAGAATTAAGTGTCCATTCCTATCTTATGACAATGGTGTTGTTCTCATTTATAAACAAAAAAAGCTACTGATTTTTGGCTTTTAGCAGTGTTTAGAGTCTCGGCGATGATACTCCAAACACTGCTAAAAACCGCAAATCCGTTGTTCCGGAAAAACTCAACACCTGAAGATTCTCCAAGGGTTTTAGGCTGAAAGTCGAGAGCTCTTAGAAGATCTTCTACGATGGCCAAACACAGAGTTCTAAAAGCTTAAGGCCAAGCAGATGACCCTGAAACGAAGGAAAAGGTTCCTCTACCCCAGGAGAATGAAAAAGACGGTTCGAATGGTCATAGATGGCACGCAATGTTAGCAGTGGGATATAGTGATAAATCTAAATGCTTCATTGTCAGAAATTCTTATGAAGAGAAACGGGTTAGTACAAAGTAACATATAAGATACAGACCTTAGTAACTTCAGACATCATCATTTCCGACACATGTCATGCAGATAGTTGACCATATTTCTAATTCCTTTTATACGGATAATTGATTTTATGTGTTATACGGTGATAAAGGCTACTGTTATATTCCGTATGATGTAGTTTTGCTTCCATTTGTTTGAGTAATATGCCAAGAAACGGCGTGAGATCTTTTTTCTATCACTTTTGACATGGATTTCAAAACTCAAAATGGTCGTCGGAAAATTTTTTATTTTTTGAAAGTTGTGGGGCATTTCGATTTCTGTTCAATTAAGACGGAATCACAAGTCTCCGGATCAGCTCCTATATACCATTTTGTAGAGAATTAAATGGTGAATCTTTTGCAAAAAGCAGCTGAATTTTATTATGTATGTTTCATATAAATAACGTCAGTTTACAGAGAGGGGTCGAAACTTATGAAACACCCTTTAAATACAAGTTCATCTACAATTCAGTTGATTCATACTGACAGCTCCTCCATCAATTCAGTCTATAAAAATTCTAGTGAGTGTTAAACATTGATTGCATCCTTTACTAGGAGAATATGCTTTAGATCCATGGTTAACATAGTTTGAAAAAGTCTTTCACTGAGCATACTGATAACAATTGCTTGTTAGATTACTTGCAGCTAATATAATGAAAAACTTGGCATTCACTTCCAAATGTGTGGAATAGCTTGAAACACTCTTCGGTGCTTAAAATCGTACTCAATGGTATAAATACAAATAGCCAACATATTTTTTCGACAATTCTTTCTTGCATGAAAGGTTTTCTGAAGTTCCTTTTCATCAATCTATGCTAAACTATCTACAGATTCTTGACAAAAGTAGTAAATTTTTACCAGTTTTACAATGTATGAACAATGGGAAATACAGTAACAGGGCCGTGATGGAGTACTATCTCCAAAGTAAGCATCGTAACAGTAAAACATCATTAATCAATTCCACCTCTTAAAAATTTAAATGGAGAGCTTACTAATGATCGTGAAGACACAGCAAATCTATTAAATGATTAGTTTGCATTCAAATGTAATACGAGTAGCAATGACGAAAGCGTGACTGTAAAATTAACAAAAACAAACAAAAAGTTCAGTATCATCCATATCTCTCCAATGGATGTTGAAAACAATATTGATTAAACTATCATCATCTACTTCATAGAATGTAATGTTCTAGAAAAGATAAAGGTTAGTCAAGTTAATAAATGGGTCGTTTTTTTACTGTTTGCTGAGAAACGCATCCATTCAAAAACAAGGATGATACTACATATACATTTCTAGTTTAAGTGTGCCGAGCTTACTAATCAAACATTTACACATGATCTGAGCTTGAATCTAACGTTTTTCAAATATTTAAGTCTTTAGGATAAAAAAATGAACTAGCCTGTTTGCAAATGGGATTTAGACAACACCGTATGAAAGTTTATACTCAGATCTGCAGGGATTTTGCAGATTTTCTATCCCCTCCCCTCTTCCCCCTAGTATCAATCTTAAAAACGTTGCTATAGCAGTAGTATTGGTCTTAAAGATTCCATTCTAGAATATTCGAAAACATTTTTGAAGATTCTAAAATATTTTGAAATCTTCTAGCAGTTTTGACATGAGCTGGCCAAGTCAAGTTAAAAATGCTTCAAGTCCAAGTCAAATCAGATCAAGTCAAGTCTGATTTGACTTGGTCGAAAAAGTTTTGGGGTCTGACTTAGCTTGAGAAATGTTTTTTCGTGATCGTGACTCGACTTGAGAAGATTTTTAAGTCAAGTACTTTCTAGTAAGAAACTTTCCTTTACATTAGGCATTTTATACCATGAAACAGAGTTTCTGGAACTATAAAAACTGCCTCTCACATAAAAGGCACTACCTATCTTCACCTGTGCAACCTGTTTAATACAACAAAACAGAACAAAAAAAGAGCATGTCGGATCTTTTCCTAACAACGACGTAGTTAATAGAAGGAGCAAAAATGAATACGAAGCATTAATAGAAAAAATCTATTTCTTTCGTTTACGTATTGACATAAGCGTGGCATGTTTGATGCGATGCTTTCTTGGGCCGCAACTAACTTTCAGATAATACTTTGAAACAATCGGAGGTTAGAACTTGTGCAGGCGACTTCATAATAAAATAGTGGAAAAACCTAATATTGTCGCTTATATTTCATCCCATTTCTGAGTAGATGGGAAAGAATCATTAGCAGAACTCGTGAGTTTAAAGTTTAATCTTCCTATTCCCTTTAAACTAGGCTGAGAGGAGTGATTGATAGATTTAACATAATTACTTAGTTAAACTACAGTCGAAGCAAAGCGATACATCAGTTATTTTTGTTCATAAACTTTCATGTTCACTACAAGTCTCTTTTTTCTCAAGAAAATTGAATAAGCAATCATGTCCAAAGGAATGTATTTTACAAACAAAGAAACTGGCGAACAGTATCCGCTAGGCGGTTTTCGCCCATCGTCAAGACCGTCAACAGCCAAAAAGTTTTCGCCCATTCCAAAATTTGGGGCTGCAGACTTCCCCAGAAAAGTGGATCTACGTGAGATGATGACCCCAGTCAAAAGTCAAGGAACTTTACAATCATGGTAAAAAACACGTTATTTCTTTATGCATAAAGAGGTTCGTTAATAATATTAGTCTTTATCTTTGTAGTGTTGGAAATGTTTTAGCCGGTAAGTTGAGCGAATGGTTTTAATCTGATTTTTAATGCAGTACGAAGGAACTGCATTCTAGAATTTAACGTGGTGTTGTTTTAATACGCTTTTGTGTGATTGTCTCACGCTGTTTGTTCAAGATCTAAAAGGTGTGTAAGAAAAATAGAAAAACAAGAATATGGATCGAACTCTGAATATGGGAATGTCCGATTTGGTAGTTCTGTGGGACATTTAGTTTCTTGCCTAGAGCGTCCTAAAAGATGATCGAGAAAAAGTTTACAGTAGAAAGAGATAATTGGTGTTGTAAGTGTACACGCGCCATGTAGGATGAAGAGAACATCTGTTCAAGTTGGCTTGTAGCCAGTAAGCTCGTTCTCTGTAATTGATATTGTGAATCGTCAGTGTTTTTTTACCTGCTGTGTTATTGATAATTAACGCAGTGTTGTGAGTCATTAATAGCGTCAATGTTTTTCAAGGGTGACAGAGAAGGTTGAAACTATATTAATCATCAAATGATCTGTTGTACTTGTTTTTGCAACTTTGTCTCACTCATTCACTACTCTTTTTTTACTTAATTATCCTTCTTAAACTGCCATACGTCAGATTTAACACATTCACCGTCCATGTACCATATATGATTCATTTGATTTTTGACCATGGATCGTTTTTTTACTATATGTCCGCGAATTATATATAATCAGGGAAATTAAAAGGTTCTGGAGGGAAGTTTTGTAACAAAAACATGAAAAACTGTCAATTTGAGTTCCATAGTAGCATTATCACGTATAATCTAAAATGGATGTAGGGATGATGTTTTAGGTTTTCTTGTGCAAGTCTCTTTTTTCTCAAGAAAATTGAATAAGCAATCATGTCCAAAGGAATGTATTTTACAAACAAAGAAACTGGCGAACAGTATCCGCTGGGCGGTTTTCGCCCATCGTCAAGACCGTCAACAGCCAAAAAGTTTTCGCCCATTCCAAAATTTGGGGCTGCAGAAATAAAGAGGCAGGCCAAGGTAGGCCTGCTTGGTATTTAAGAAAGCCATCAATCGAAAAAGACAACGTAAATATTTAGATGTAACACTTACAAGCGATAGGCCCATCACTTTACTACAAACTGACGCAGATTCGAAACTTATAAAGGGACCCTCTGGTATTCATTTTCCAAAGGGCCACTTACTTTCTTCCTGTGATATGCAGAAGTGAGGAAACCACATGGAAACATTGCTTATCGACCCTCCTGATTGTCATGGTGATATCTGTCTCGTCAACAAATAGAAAGTTAAGTTGGGTCATAAAATCATTTTTTGGGACCCTCAAATGGAAAATGCATAGTTATCAGCCACTGTAAGTACCCGATCAGAAAGA